AGTCCAAAACAGATATTGCGCCTAATCCGAGGTTGAAGTTTGTGTCCTTTAATTCAAAAGTTATCTGTAAGTCTCGAATTTCACGAAGGCTTCCTCGACAGCTGGAAGTACTTTTTCAGCAATGGACAGTCAAAATAACCCTTTGAAATATAAGCTAACAGCAAGTTAGACATCCGAAAAGTACCTAGAGCTTTTGCGACAGTATTACGAACAGACAGAAAGCTGAGGAGACGTTTTGTATGTGAGTTTTCAGCTGGTATTTGACCGGAAATTATACGTTAATGGAAGTCCAACGTGTGTATTTGGAATAAGATGGCATTGCTGCAGTTGCACGGCTGCAATGGCTCCTTCTTAATGTGGCCGCCATGGCGCTTCCATGGAGCCACCTGCGCTCCCTCCCGCCTCCAATATTCTTAACTTGGTCATGATACCGGGCCCAAGTGGTGCAGGGGGAGAGAGTGTGGTAGATGCAGCGCAAGTCTACTATCATTATAACCTATTCCACGCGTAAGTCACCGTCCCTGCGCCGCATTATGCTGTGGGGCAAACGGTGGACCTTGTCGCGCACGAGGCTCGAACTCTCACGCCAGTGATGGTACTTCGCGTAAAGGTACTACAACACAACTTGACCTTGTTGAGGCTGTTCCATTTGCATACACTACCTCAATAAATAAAAACGGCAAATACATTTATTCTCACTACTGCCTAGTGCAGGAGGACTTAGATTTCCATTTCCTCTCACCTTCACTGTCATGTTCTGAAAAGATTACCGTTCTGCCCTTTAGTTAAATACGCCGAGGACAAGAATGAGTTGTTCGCTACCTGGTTCTACGAGAGCATGGCCGGCGCAGGCACCAGAGACACTGACCTTCAGAGGCTTGTACTTTCTCGTTGCGAGGTGAGTCTATGTTAATACTGTTATTTGAGCTTGTGTTTAATAGGCCGCAAACAGTTTCAAGCCTGAAGTTAGGCTTATTCTCAACTGCGTTTTTAATTGGTTTTGCCATATCTACGTGCTGAACTGACAAACGGCCTCCATTTAAAATTCCACGAACCACAAGAAATCCCTGAGGTGTCTGTGCACCTAGTATAGGGTTACACACACATAACCCTATACTCTCGAAAGCACTGGTGGTTCTCGTGACTGCAAGTGGGCGAACTTACTAGCTTATTAATCATGTCCCACATGGGGAGGTCTTGTCGTCATCCGTTCCAGTACATGGCAAATCCGTTTGAATTTTCATTGTTTTTTCTTTACCGTTCCAATGTGCATCTCGTAATATCTGACCTTCTTTTTTTCTTCTCATTGTAGTTGGATCTGGAGGACATCAAACGGGCCTATCAGGCCAAGTACAACAAGAGTCTTGCAAAGGCCATTGAAGGAGACACGTCGGGTGACTATAGACGCATGCTTCTGGCCCTCGTCAACTGAACCACCGGATGCTTTCCTGTGCTTTCTATAAACCGCTTTGGCTTGTGTCTGCTGGATTATTTTACTACCAAATGTCTTATTTATATGCTTCTGTAACCTCGATTGACTCTGTTGTAAGACAAGAAATTTAAGAACTCGCATTCGTCTACTTCTATCCATTTAGCTTTTTGTGGAAGATGGACCGCTGTAAAACCCACCTGTTTGTCCTGCTTGAATATTCCGAGTATACTTTAAAATACATTCACTCACCTATTCTATCGATTTTTGGATGTCACGCTCATCCTGAAAATTCGTCAAGTTCGTAGGTGACAGAGGCTCTGGATGGATGCTCACCGTTTGAAAGGCTGACATCAGACGCATTCATAACGAAGCCCAACATTTCCTTAGCTTACCGACGGTTGACAGATACGCTGCGGAATCAGGAAGGTTAATGGCAACTGCTAGTTTTGGGTTAATCTTGCTCAATGTTTTTTTTTTTTATCTAGCGGGTAAGCATCTCGTTGCAGCTGCGCGTTCCATTGCGCTCACCGTAATTGTAGCCGCTGTGGGCTTGGAGAGAATGCTGCGCCAACTGTGTTCCTCTGTGCGCATCTGTCACGTGTGAGCCTCGTGGAGTTTACCTATGCTGTCGCATCGACATCCGCGTGCAGTTAGTGTTGCGCGCTAAACGTCAACCAAGTGGCAAGACACCCCAAAAACAATCTCGAGTTTGTTTCAGTGTGATGCGCAATTGGAAGTGACAGAAAAGCACACCCGTAGGCGCATGAAGGCCTGCAGACTTACACTGACAACCAGAATTTGTCACGGGGGCTGTCGTCTGCTGCTGTTTCATTTACGATGGCGGGATCCTGTACCCTGTGCCCGAAAGTTCAAGCGAAACATTTGCTTCTTCCGGCCTTCCATCGGTTTACTCCTTTTAGTAGTGGGGTCAGAGCGAAAACGTGCCAGTGCTATTCTCCTGAGCCCTCTTAGATACACATGGATTGCAAAAACCTGCGGCAGGGTAGGGCTGGTTGATAGTGCTGCTGGATAATAAGTCAGAGGTGGACAGTACAGTCTCCTTGATCTCCATCGATAAGGTTATTCTGCATATATATGTACGCAGACATATATGAACTTATTTTGGAACGAAGTAACGCTTATGGCATACATTTGAGTATGCGGCACCCCCGTTCGTCATCAGAAGAATAAGAGGTGTATATACAACCAAAACTTATTTTGCCGTTGGCTTACTTTTGGACCACTAAGTGCCTGTTGGATTCAGCTACCCGGTAGTTCCTGGCTGTGTATGCTTCTACTTGACCTAAGCGTACAGTGGGGCCTTAGAGGATGAGCAGCTTCATCTACAAGCATTTAAGGTAAAGAGCGCGAGTATTTCGATTGATGAACTTCCGCTCAGTTAACGAATTGTCAATGCGTGTGCGTGCCTGTGTTCGCCGTCCAAACTTGCTCCCAGAGCGTGGGTCTTCGGTCACCTGCAGCTGATCAGTAAACTGATGCAGTTTGCTTGGCTATGTTTCGCAAGACGATTATTTCACATGACGAGTTCGGTGCCGGAACAGATTAAACTCGTTAGCCGAAGTTCCACTTAACAACTAAAGCCCAACCTTAACTCTATCCTTTAGTGTTAACACCAGCCCCAAGCCGAACGCCAACCTCAAAGATAACCGCAAGAGGCTGCTTTACTGGATAACGATGGGTTTTTCTTCTAGCGAAAATAGTTGAAACACTCGAAAAGATCAACGAGATACGAGAAATTCCGTGGCCGACACGATCATGAGACTTGTACCCTAAGTCGACTAATGAATTAGGTTGAGTCGCTACTTAAGTTAAAAGGCCGGAAAGTTGTTTTCATTCAAATCTTAAACGAAGTTTACAACATTTGTAGGTTCACACCTAAACCTATGTGTAAAGCCTAACCTTGACTCTAAAACCTCAATCCGTATTTTGAATACTTGACTTAGAGGGTTTATTTTAGCCTACCCAATAACTAGGTGGGGCCGCATATCCGATCACTATCGGCAGCGCAAAATCCCGCAAGATTCGACGGGTTTCTTCTAGCAGGAAATAGTTGAAACACTTAAAAAGACAAACTAATTACGGGACTTTCCGTTTCCGACACGAGTATCAGACATGTGAGACTAGCTAGGACGAAAAATGAACTGAGTTGTTACCCAAGTAAAAAGGCCCGAAAGTTGTCTCCATCCAAACGTGAGACGAACTTTCCCTTCACACGTGTGAGACACCTATTAGAAGGCATGCAATGTAAGATTGCGAAAGTAGCAGAAGCAAGCGTACTGGCATGCACTTTTACCGATACATTTTACAGTAGCGTCGGTACTGGTTTTCAGTCGAGCTTTGCATTTGAAGTAAAAGTTAGCTGTTCGATCGGGGTGTGCGTCTTTAGATGCACAGTCTTGGTCTAACCTTGTAGAGCGTTTTGGCCAGAATGTAAATTTCATCCAACGCCAATAGGACAAAATCGTCGACGTAATCTTTAGAAGACGAAGAAGCGATCACTGGAAGAAGAGTTTTATTGTCCTGACGTTTCAGATTCCGTCGGGAACCCTTAATCATAGGTAATCGTAAACAAGTCTGAGACATGCGCATATAAGGGTGATACATGCACAGATTGCACGATATTTATAGTCCGTAGCGGTCACCCGCAGGAACTGGCAATTATAGTACGC